CAACTTTTGGTGCCCAGTGACCCTACGGATCGCTAGCAAGTGGGAGCAGATAACTTTTGGTGCCCAGTGACCCTACGGATCGTTAGCATGGGGCAGATATTGTGTAGCACCCAGGTGATACTACTGATAGCTAGCAAGCGGATAGGGTAGATAATTTGTGGCCTGAGTGACCCTACGGATCGCTAGCAAGTGGGAGCAGACAACTTTTGGTGCCCAGTGACCCTACGGATCGCTAGCAAGTGGGAGCAGATAACTTTTGGTGCCCAGTGACCCTACGGATCGTTAGCATGGTGCAGATATAGTGTAGCACCCAAGTGACACTACTCATAGCTAGCAAGCGGATAGGGTAGATAATTTGTAGCCTGAGTGACCCTACGGATCGTTAGCAAGTGAGAGCAGTTATTTTGGAGCGCCTAGATTCCTTACATATAGCTAGCAAGAGGGTAGGGTAGATAATTTATAGCCTGAGTGACCCTACGGATCGTTAGCATGGGCAGATATAGTGTAGCACCCAAGTGACACTACTCATAGCTAGCAAGCGGATAGGGTAGATAATTTGTAGCCTGAGTGACCCTACGGATCGCTAGCAAGTGGGAGCGGTTATTTTGGAGCGCCTAGATTCCCTACATATAGCTAGCAAGAGGGTAGGGTAGATAATTTATAGCCTGAGTGACCCTACGGATCGTTAGCAAGTGAGAGCAGTTATTTTGGAGCGCCTAGATTCCTTACATATAGCTAGCAAGAGGGTAGGGTAGATAATTTGTGGCCTGAGTGACCCTACGGATCGCTAGCAAGTGGGAGCAGACAACTTTTGGTGCCCAGTGACCCTACGGATCGCTAGCAAGTGGGAGCAGATAACTTTTGGTGCCCAGTGACCCTACGGATCGTTAGCATGGTGCAGATATAGTGTAGCACCCAAGTGACACTACTCATAGCTAGCAAGCGGATAGGGTAGATAATTTGTGGCCTGAGTGACCCTACGGATCGCTAGCAAGTGGGAGCGGTTATTTTGGAGCGCCTAGATTCCCTACATATAGCTAGCAAGAGGGTAGGGTAGATAATTTATAGCCTGAGTGACCCTACGGATCGTTAGCAAGTGAGAGCAGTCATTTTGGAGCGCCTAGATTCCTTACATATAGCTAGCAAGAGGGTAGGGTAGATAATTTGTGGCCTGAGTGACCCTACGGATCGCTAGCAAGTGGGAGCAGACAACTTTTGGTGCCCAGTGACCCTACGGATCGCTAGCAAGTGGGAGCAGATAACTTTTGGTGCCCAGTGACCCTACGGATCGTTAGCATGGTGCAGATATAGTGTAGCACCCAAGTGACACTACTCATAGCTAGCAAGCGGATAGGGTAGATAATTTGTAGCCTGAGTGACCCTACGGATCGTTAGCAAGTGAGAGCAGTTATTTTGGAGCGCCTAGATTCCTTACATATAGCTAGCAAGAGGGTAGGGTAGATAATTTATAGCCTGAGTGACCCTACGGATCGTTAGCATGGGCAGATATAGTGTAGCACCCAAGTGACACTACTCATAGCTAGCAAGCGGATAGGGTAGATAATTTGTGGCCTGAGTGACCCTACGGATCGCTAGCAAGTGGGAGCAGACGACTTTTGGTGCCCAGTGACCCTACGGATCGCTAGCATGGGGCAGATATTGTGTAGCACCTGACACTACTGATAGCTAGCAAGCGGGTAGAGTAGATAATTTGTAGCCTGAGTGACCCTATGGATCGCTAGCAAGTGGAGAGGCACATAATTTGTAATGCCTAGGTGTCCCTTCGTATCGGTAGCAGTAAATAGGGTAGATGATATGAGGCTAGGTTAAGGCACAGATATTCTCATAGTGTCAACTTTAGCACAAATTATTCTCCCATTTTGGTCGTTGTGCGCTCACACCATCAAGAAAACGAACGTATCAGATCTTTGGAAGATTACAAAATGGCTGCTTGTGTGAACAATTTTGTGCAACTATCCAAGAATAACTATCTATGCAAAGCAGCTCTTTCCCTCACACTTCAGTTGAAGCTCTCTCAAAGTTCCTCTTTAAGACTTCTGCCTGCTCTTGAAACTTGGTTTTCCTCCACTTTTATGGAAGTTTTCTTTAATAGTAGTAGTTGCACCTGAACTACTATGACAGTAACGCAAATTTTAATCAAGTCGTGTACGATGTTCAGACAACAGGGGTAGAGACAATGTTTAACCGAGTTTCTAGAGTAGTTTGATAGAATTTTCTTGCAACAAAAGCATCGGCTTGGAGCTTCACCAAATCTTTTATATTCCATAAAGATCATCCTGAAGTCGTTCACAAATGTTCTCTGAGCCAGGTTTTCAGATGTTTTGGAAATCGCTGCAAAATAGGATATCTACAATGCAAAGACCCTTGTGAATATATTTCACTTTCTACCCTAGACTCTTACCATTTCTGGCTTATGTAACAAATTCGCCTCTTTTAGAAACATTTTGAAAAGCCCTTCAAGACTAATGTCTTAAAAAGTTGGTATTAGATTTGTACAAATAACGAACCTTTGTAAAAACTTTGCAAAGAAATGACTCGTTTTCGTTCTAGTATTTTGCCGAATTGCGAAAGTATTGTCAGATCCAATCCATTATAGAATAAAGTTGAATAAACATTGCAACTTGTGTCCAAACAGAATTTTTTCCTCCTTCCAGCTGCTGTAACCGCAATGTGATTCATTGCGAGAGTGCTGAGATAATCGTTGGAATTTACAGATTACCTTGATTTTTACCATGTTTTTCGCTAATTTTCAAAATTTTCATGTGAGACTTTAGGAGACGGTTTGATAGCAGGCAACTTTTTGCCATTTGAACCAATTTTTTGCAGCCATACGGCTTGTGTTTCAAAATTCCTAAAATTAAATTTATAGAGCAACATAATTTCACGCGGCGTACTTTAAGCTCGTAAAACACGAAGTGGTCAGCAGTTCAAGTATCACGTAAGTTCTCCTTTTTCTAATAGTTGTCTTTTCATATCATGACGAGACAAGCGAAAACAAAACAACAATTTCCCAATTTCAATGGTGCACACTGGTATCCTAAGTTTCGAAATCTTCACAATTTGAGGCGGAAATCATCATTACTTTGTAAGGTTAGCAATAGCAGTAATGTGTTAAGACCTCTATTCCGAAGATCTAGCAGTGTTTGTTGCAACAGGTTATGCGAGTTTTGCAAACTCGAGACTTTTGGGAAGTTATTTAGCAAGATTCCAAAAAGGAGCTTAGAAAAGAGGAAAAATTTTTTAGCTGGCAAAAGGTTTGCTCTAGCTGGTTATTGAAACTTTCACAAAAGTTTCAGATAAAAAATTCGAAAAGTAGCGAAAGCTGGACCTTTTGAACAAAGTGTTGTACATCCCAGCGATAATCAGAGCACTCTCTCAACAAATCACACGATTAATACAGCAACTGGTAAGAGGAAGAAATTCTGTATTAAATACATTTCGAAGCGTTTGTTTATCTCTATAAACAGTCCCAATTGCAAATCACAAGCATCCAAAACCTCCAACCTGACGAAGTGCCAAGTGTCTCATTGCATAAACAAATTGACCGCAGCATCAAAACGGCTCCAAAAATAGTCATGCTGAACCGCGTAAACAATCTCAGGCGCCATTTCTGACACAGTGCCAAGTGCCCCACTACGTAAACAAACTTATCGACTGCAGCGTCAGAACCACCGTCAGAGCAACAGTCGACAGAGTGTGAACCCAAATGCACCCAGAAAACTCTCACTCCCTGCCTTGCATTCGTACCTAATCGCTCATTGATGAGTACGTTTTGTTTGGCGTGATAGCCGGGCACGCCTCTCATGCAACCCGACCACCTCCGCGCTCTCCCTACTCACTTACCCAAGGAGGTGTGGCTAATAATCTGGAAATTGCACTCTTACCATTCGTTAATATATACTGATTGCCAAAATTCTCCACCTGTCAATTTTACCTGCTCAAAGTTAATCTAATTCTCAAAAATTTCATTACAAAATTTCGAAAAAGACTAAGTATGGGTCAAATAGAGCAACTCTCGGGCTACAAGTTCATATTTTTAGATTCTCCTAATCTGCTGATTTTAACTTCAAAAAATTATTTCTCCGGAGGCCTTGGTTTTTAGTCATGAAACGCGCAGTTGCAGCAAAAGCATGAAAGCTTTTGAGTTTTTGCTAATTCAAACTTATTTGTTATTTAACATGCATCATTTATGCAACACACCAAGTTTGATCTGCTTCAAAAATCAGCTTATTGGAATTTTCGGTAATTCTACGTGATAAAACGTGTTCAAAAAGCCGCGGTTTTTCTCAAATAAATAATTATTACGGACAATATAAACGTGGCCCACGTAATCTAAAATAGGTACAATGTAGCCAAAGGTTTGCCTTACATAACAGTCACCAGCACTCATCGAAAATATCAAGATAAAAATTTTGAAAATTCAGGAAAGTTTTGGCGCTACTGCTGAGGTGCTCAAAAATGGCGATAACATCGTAAAAAGGGGTAGATCAGAGAACAAATATAGCTATAGGAAAGAGGATACAAAAATGAATAGAATGACACCTAGGCCGTCCATGGATTGGTGTTCTGTGAGGTTTGGTGAGCGATGAAAAAACCGACAAAACTTTCGGGACAACCTAATATTTACGAGTGAATGCCACATAGCCGATGGCCGTGCAGCGCCACTGATGCAACTGCAGCCCGTCGCTACGATTTCTAGAGTCGCCTATACTTCAACAGGTACCACGTTTTCATCATCACTGATGTCACTTCAATTACGAATAGCAGGTGCGGCGTACAACACGTCACGCTTGATCCTTGTCATAATCAGCTAATTAGCTAATAGCTGGTAGCCTTTTTACTAACGTTAGAAAATTCATGAGATTCAAAGAAACCAGCAACGGTAGTGCTAAAGATATTTCCAAGCTCACGCTCCGGAGCGGCTCATAGCATCGTGTGTTGTCGCCGTACAAAAGAAATTTTATCTTGATTGCGGCACCCTCTGAATTACCAAAAAATAAACTTATCAACGTAGATAACAAAAATTTATTATTATGTGATAACGTGCAAAGACGAGATATGTGTGACAGGGAATATAAACATGGTTATTACGAAAGTGCTTTCCTAAATTGCACCATGATGTTAGCTTATCATTACATTGTTAGCCAGACAGTGGTACTTTCGTTACATAAATATTATTCAATCGAACAATCAAAGGTTATGCTTGTTCCAAAGTTTTCCGCCCCACGGTAGAACACTACTTCAAGGAAAAAACCAAAAAATTTTGCAAAGTTTCAGAGATCAGTACAATTCAACTCCATAATATAAGATCAGTCAAGGCCTGCCATACATCTGCTGGCGGAAAACTTTCAACTGTTCAATTGCAAGTTGTAGCTTCTTAGCAGGACCAAAGGTGAAAGCAAGATGGCTGCGCAGATCGTCGAAACCCATCATTAGCATAGCGTCCCCGTCAACTTCTTCTCGTCGGAATGTGGCAGCACATGTCTCTGATCCCGTCACTGCTTGTGCCCAACGTGCAGCCATGTCAGGCTAAAAAATTCAGCATCAGTCGTGAAATGAGTACATTGAAACTCCGTCTAGTTAATCTATGACAGATGAGCAACGATGGCAAAAGAAATCACCCCAAACAGGTTTGCTGTTTAGAACAACTCGTTGTTCACAGTCATAGATGAGCAAAGACATTATCGAGAATGGACTTACCGGCCACAGTTTTGGGTCAATGTCGTAGTCAACACCAGGGACATTGAGAGGTCCACTTGAAGCTGTCACCGGAGTAACGACACCTACAGCGTGATCCAATACTGGTGAATGGTCGTTGACCACTGGAGAAGACATCGACGTTCGCAGAGTTGTAGGCTGAATGGAAGCGCAATCGTTCATAGGGGTAAATCATTCAGAGAATACAATCTTGATTACGCCCAGCTACAGGACTTCGCGAATATAAATATAGAATTCCATAACTCTCCGCAAAACTAGAGCATGTCATTTCAAAAAAAAAACTGGGTAATTTCACTAAAACAGCAAACCTGATCCTACCTGTACTGCTGTCGGAGAGACAACTCCGCGTGGCGGTGGTGCAGGTGTTGTATTACGAGAACTATCAAGCAGCGCACTGAATGCTTTCTTGGAATTAGACGACTCTTCGCTTTTGCTTCCTCTAGACGACGGTGGAGTGACTTCCTCTTCTACCTTCGGCCGTACTGGAAAGAACTTTGAACTGTTCGGGTCAATGAAAACTTGAAAGACTAAGCGTTTCAAGTAAAGTCTAACGCACGATCGGCCAAACTTGATGAAGACGACAGCGTACCTTCCGAGCCACCGGAGATCCGTTTCATTGTTTCTGCTACAAAAATTGAAAATCATGAGGTGGGCAAAAAAATCATTCTAAAGACGCCGCTGGCAGTGGCACTCACAAAATTTGCGTCCGTTCTTCTCGCTTGCCATCATGGACTGATACGAGCGACGGCACTTTGTCGAGCAGTACTGCGGTGTAGAGACTGAGCGTTCTTTCTAAAAAAATAATACCATTCAGAGATTAAGTACTTCGAAACCAGGAAATTCACCTCCTTGAATGAAACCTTGCAATAAAGGCATCGATCTTCTGGCGAGTCCTCAGACGAGGGCAGCATACGCATGCTTACTGTTGGTGTATTTAAAACTGCTAGCTCTTTTTCCCTTTCCTTTTCCTTCTCTTTCGCTTTGTCATGCTTCCCACTGCCTAAAAGAAAACAATGAAAGTGTTACAGCGCACTTTTTCCAAACCCCTCAGCTAATCTCAGACCATTTTGCAGTGAAATGGTCACCAACGGATGTTACGAGAAGAAAAAAGAGCCGTATATACGTGGAAGTTCGGTTTGAATCAGAATAAACGGCTCATCTTATAAGACGATGTAATATGCCCTCGCTCTTTTAAGACAATACAACTGATGCTAGTACTTTTGTAGTGAGAGAAACCAGAGTTTAATAACCAAAACAATAGATATTAAAGGCAGCGTCCAGGCAGATCTGGACCTATGAGGCTTTTACGTGGAAAGTACTTTTGGGGTCCTAACTAAGGCACTGCCCAAGCGGCAGCTCAGGTAGTGCCGTAATGGCTGAGATATTCCCCTCGAAACTAGACCCCGCGACCGTGTTTCGCATGGATTCATGGCGCAAAGCGTGGATCCTGGCGCGAAACTGCCATGAATACATGCGAATACGTTCGCGGGGGCCAGTTTCGAGGGGAATATCTCAGCCATTAGAGCACTAACTGAGCTGCCGCTTGGGCAGTGCCTTAGTTAGGGCCCCAAAAGTACTTTCCACGTAAAAGCCCCATGGGTCCAGATCTGCCTGGACGCTACCTTTAAGCACTATAGACTCTTTTACAAATCATAGCATGATTAAAGGCAAAATGATTGGAGAATACGAACTGAAAACATCGAGAAATACATAAGTGAGATAAACACAGAAACAAAAAATAACGAACTCACTTCTCTTTGATGAATGGCTATGGGTATCCGAGGAGTCGACAGAAGATCGAGAGCGTTCAGGTTTGACAGGACTTTCGGTAGCTGTGGATTGAGAACTTCGCTTCTTCTGCTTTGTTCGAGTTTTCTCTGCATGGTCCGATTTGTCATGTTCGTCGCCAGTTTCTGATGAAAGACGTTTTTCCTTGTCAAGCACGCTTTTTCGTTTCTCCGTATCCAGAATACGCCTTCCAGCATCTTTTGGACCAAAATCCATACTTAAAAGTAACTCTAGCTCATTTGTCCTTCTTCTTGGTGGATGCTGCACAGGTGTTGTACGTCGATTCTGAACCAGGAACAAGTGCAGGCGCCTCAAAAAAATGAAATCACAGAGTTACAAACCTTGGATTGCTTGCGCTCCTCAACATGCTCAGGAGTAGCTTCAGGTTCCTCCTTCTTCGGCTTGTTCGTGCGGCCTTCTGTGTGAGTGGCTGACCGGCGTGTGCGGGCTGGTACCTTTCTTTTGCCCTCATTCTCAGCATCTGCCTTTGTGGGTGTCGCTTGTTTCGCTTTGGACGAATTGTTCTTTTCTTTCGTGGGGGCTAAACTTTGATAAATCTGAAAGGATGCCAGCTGCAACCAAATGTCTAGTCAACTGACCCTTTTCCTCAACTTTGTTCTTCACGTCAATGTCTGCGATAAGAGGCATAATGTCGTCCAAAACTTCAGAAGAAACTATCTCCGTGATTTTGTCGTACTGTGCTAACGGAAACGGAACATCTGATTCCTATAATTTGCAAAAATGACGGTCCAAAAACAAAGCATATTTTCGCAAATGTAACCATTCAAATTACCAACCTCAATGGTGAATCCATCCATATAGTGCACCAAAGGTTTTCCGCAACCACCACCTCGTGCGCGAAAAGCCAATGCTTCCCTGACAAAGATAGATTCCAAGGACTTGGCAGCATCCGAGACCGGTGGAGGCGACGGATCGTCTACAGAATCTCCTGTAGAAAATATAAAATGAATAAAAAACATGCATGGGTGGGCCAGAACAAAACGTGTCACCAACCCCTATCTAATGCTGGCGGTGCATCTCCTGCCGTGTCAGGACTATCAGTACCGCATGAAGCAGTTTCCGCTTTCCCTTTCTCATCCATACCTAGCGCTAGATACTCCCCCACGCTCATTTCTCCCGAACCACTCTCCGGACGTCGTTTTTTGCAGCGACTGGTCATAGTTTTCTGAAATAGCGATAACATTTATGGGCTTATGTGACATTTTCAAGAAGGGCGGAGGATATTATGTTCCAAAAAATTCACAAGTACAGTTTGCTTCACAAATACCTGGGATAACGTCATACCATAACGGAGCTACCAAAGATCAAAAGAAGAACCCGAAAACTGAAAAACGGTTAAACCCGTTCTTTTTCAAGCTTCTACTGTCTTGGACTTACTCGTATAAACTACTTGATTCAAACTGTTTCATGGATAGCTGGAATCTGTGAAATCAACAAAAAACATGCGTTTGGAGCAGCAAAATATATCTGTTGCGAAATCCCTCAATCAGTATGACGAGAGTACTATAGGCTCATTTGAATTGTCGATGGACTCAAATAGCTGATTGCGCAATAAGTTCTGCTACTTGATGAGTTACTTCTCCTTTATAACGAGGCTCTACCCAAAGTACGCATCTAAAGAAGAGAAACGACGATCTTTGAGACTTTTGAGAAAAACCATAATCATGATTGTTACAGCTTCGCAGATACTTTTGGATGACTGAAGTGCCAAAAAGTGTCATTGCAGAAACACTCCATTACACACACTGGCAAGTAAGCGATAGCTATAGCAGCTTATAGGACTTACCACATGCTGCTGCATTTGTTGCTGATGTTGCTGCTGTTGTTGCCGTTGCACATTCTGCATTGTCTGCATGCCTTGGATACCTTGGGCGATGCCGACAGGTACAAGATTTTGCGGAATCATACCGGCTGTAAAGCAGCATATTGCTTAACTTCCAGATATTTTTGCTAAGCGAGAGTCAGGGCATTGCGTTAATACAAAAGTACTGGTTTTGGACACATATTCATCATTTTTTCAGTCTCCAATCGATGGCCGTGCCGGCAAACACTTTGACGCCCATGTATTACACGTTCATATAATGACACAGTGGTCTTCATAAAAAACGTCGCTATTAACAAATTAGAGGCTCAATTTCTCAAAGACGTTGATTTTGCAAAACTATCTAGACAAGAACAAAATCATCGAAATTCACTCAGCCGCAACAATCTAATAAACAACTGACACATTATGATTGCACTAAAGGGCATGTGACCGAGGTGAAAACAGGCTTGCCTCATGCATGTTCCAACAAATACTCAGCATAGTAAGAGTATTTTCAACAACTTACGATGCATTGCGGACGCATTTAGAACCATTGGGCCATTAGGTCCTTGTACAACCATCAGGGCAGTATTTCCAGGTCGCAGTGCATTCTAGATGATATATACAAACGCGTGCATCATAGTGAACCAGAATGTAAAACTGTGATTATGCTTACCACCATAGCGGCTTGTTGTGAAGATACCGTGTGTGTACCATCGCCAGGATCTATAATTTGGCTGATTAGAATGTCCCTTACTTATGTAAACCACAGCCTCAGTGGATGAAGGAGTGATCAGTCAATGCCAAGAAAATAGCAAAGAATGAGGAACTAGTAGAAACATTATAATCTGTGCGTTACTGTGCTCAGATTATATGGAAAAACACAAATCTTCTAGCAGGCACATTCGAATCGCGGCAAGGACATAATAATCGCTTGGAAAAAAAGTAGTCAACTTTCGGATCACATTTGAAAAGTAGTCACATAACTTTTCTTGCATCCTTCCGCTATTCTATCTGGACTCAAAACTCTTTTTTTATAAATAATAGTTCCAATCGCAGAGGCTTAGAAATCCTGAGAGATTAAAGTATAACTCAGATTATCATGTGATAGAAGCTTCCTCTAGATCAAAAAAAGAGGTGAATTTACTCACGCATGAACCTGATATTCTGCCCTATGCGAGCGTTTGCCGAGAGGAATTGTGGCATCAGCTGGATTGAGTCTATAAAAGTAACTTACGTTGAAGCAGCTAAGGGATCAAGAAGTCATAAACAGTTTCAAAGAACGTACTAGTCGTCTGCTGACCGTCACTCATCGGCGTGCCGTTGGAGACCATACGCATAGGGACAGGAATGAGCTGTTGCGGTGCCTGCGCGATGATAGTTTATGAAGAAGAGTGGGTAATCAAGAGAGCTACCTGCATCGAATTCATTGTGATAACACGACCGGCTACCGGCACTTGCTGCACCTGATGTAACTGCACCATTTGTGCTGTCCCTTGTGAAGTCCTCACATTCGATTGCTGTTGCGCCTGCATCTGACGTGGAAGATTTGCGCCTAAACGTATTTACCTATATTTCAAGAGACATTATCAACACTTGTTGCAAATGCAGTCAGTTCTAGAAGGTCCCGAAAGTCCCGCATTGGAAGATATTCACATGACATGGATTAGACCCAATACGCGCCAGACACACCGCTGAAAGTGACTGCTTACAGCAGTCAATGACACCAGCTAGAGTGCTTTTCTGTGCCGTCCCTGCCTTCCTTTTATCGCAACCCGCTTGATGAATGTTTTCAAAACGAAACACGAAGAACGAAGTTGCAAAATCGATATATACGGCCAGAAAAGCCAGACGTGCATTCACCACGAAATTTCGGAAAAATGCGCAAGTTTCGACACGATCCCTGATACAAGGAAGTTTCAAGATTCGTGGACGGAGCTGAGTGTACTGGCCATAGCATTTGCAAGTTTGCGTGGGGCCTCCAAAAGAGGTGGAAATGCCAGCATGAAGCAAGGCGAATTAATTACATGCAAGGAAATGACGTGCGGTAGCAGGGCCCCTGACTGAGTTACAGCCCAAGTCCCACTGCAAAAGATCACGAGAAAATTGTTCCAAACAGTAATACGGGGCAGCCACGGCAATTAAAGGTAAAGAGCCCAAGAAACGGATCCGTTTTTCATCCTGTGAATTCAGATTTTCTTTCTAGGTACTCTAGCGTCCAGTTTCGGAAACCTTACTCGACCTCTCATGCTGATGAACGGCCGGCCCTGTCGCATCCACTATATCTTCTGAAGCAATGTCTTTCGCTTTGTGATCTAGCTCCCGCAGCGGAAACCAGACAGAATTCCCTCAAAATCTCACCATCCCCCACTTTAGAAAAAGAAAATACTAAATAAAAGTTCAGGGCAGAATTAAACCAAAAACTCTCAGAGATATCCTCACCAATCCCCATCCCTTTAACTTCCCAGAGACCACGTTCGCCAGCGCAATCTATGCAACGAGAAATCTAACTGTACAGATTACTATAAGATCAAGCTTAGGAGGCCTTCCTAAATTCTTTCCAGGAATGCAGATTAAGGTTTGAAGTTGTGAAGCCGCTGCAGGAACGATTTTGGCACCCGGGGGTGCGAACGCGATGCCACCCGTAGGACACATAAGTTCCAAACGATGTAGCTGCCCCTGCGCCGCATTCGCGCTCGCTCAACTATTGTTGCTCTTGCGCCTTCATCCCGCAGCAGATCTAACTCCCGATAACAACGGTCACCATGCTCCCTCCCCTCCTCCCCCCCACCCCCGGCGCAATGACTTTGTGCATATGATGTTAAAGGCAGTGGATCGGCAAAATGGACGCTCTCGGATTTTAGTGGTGTTAGGTACGTCGCTTCATTTCATATGATCATGTGTGCCATTGCACACACAGTCCACTTTGGCGTACTCATCCTGGATTTGCAATCGCAAAAACGCAAAAGACTTACCGATTGTTATCGATTACATCAATTTGAGGTGACTAGTAACTAAAAAGGAAAGGAAATGCTAAGAACACCTTGGAAACAATTCCTGAAGGCTTGTTTCTCCCACGAATCCAGGATGGGGACGCCAAAGGTGAACTGTGTGTGCAATGACAAACATGATCATATGAAATGAAGCGACTGTAGTAGACCATGCACTGTAGCTCCAATCCCAACCCTACCTGCCAATTCATAGGCTGAGCCCTGAGAAATGCGCTTCAGAATTCCACCGGCCCTACCCACTCAGAGGAAGTGGGCGGGGGTTGGTGGAATTTTGAAGCACATTCTTCCGAACTTAGCGCATGAATTGGCAGGTGGGGTTGGGGTTACAGCGCACTTGGGGGTCTACTACCTAAGGGAACGGCCATAGGTTGCCGGCAACGGTTGTCGGTGTTGTCGATGTTGTCGGTGTTGTCGGGGTTGCCGAGGTTGCCGGTCGTTTAGGACCTCATGACAGCCTCCACGTTTCGCACGCTCTCTAAACTGTCTCTGACCCCGACAACCCCGACAACAACCGACAACAGTTGCTGACAACCTATGGCCGTTCCCTAACACCACCAAAATCCGAAAGGGTCCATTTTGCCGATCCACTGCCCTTAATATTATAATCACGGTTCCTGAGTAAACAAAGAAAGCACGAATGAAAACATAGCTGCTCAGAAGCTCTGATACCTTGAGACATGGTCCCCACCATGCGCATCATCTCCGTCGTAGAACACTGCTGCCTCGGTGCAAGGCTGCGCAGTCCCGCAGAACCATTCGCAGCGCGAGCCTGCTGCTGTTGCATCTGCATAAATTCGATAATAGAAAGCGCTTGAATGCTAGACTTATTCCTAGCACTTAAACAACCGAACCTGTCTAGAATCCTGTGCAACGGCAGTGTTAGCATTATTCGTCAGCTTTGGAGGACCATCCTCGGACATCTCCAAAGAAGCAATCAAATGAAATAACAATGCAAACAGGAAGATTTGACGTCAGAGTACCAGAAGAAGCAAAATTTCACAATGATACCAAGCTATGTTAGGCAAAAACCCTATTTTTTGGGTTGTAAGGTATGAAGAAGAACTCAAAAACATGAGAGTAACCTCTATCTTATTCACATCACAACAGATCAGTTGCTGCCTGCATTTTCAGCCTGCCAACAATCAAAGCGTGGCGTAGAATAGCGTGCAATTGTGTAACGCCTTGTCGAATTCACGCACCCCTGCACAAGTCATCACCGTTTTGCAATCGTACTTCCTTCCAATTGAAAATTATATTACTGTTTGAGCTTACTCATTGTTCTTGACATTTTCAATCACTAAAACTTTTTGCAGAAATGGTCGCCTTCGGAGTCCCATACGATGCGAAAACAGATCCGATACAAGAGATGAAAGCTTTTAAAGCTGCAATGGCGGATGCAAAAGCGAATCCAGATTGGCGTACAGCTCGTTTCATAGAACGTCAGCGCTGGAATCCATATTCATTTGAAGGAGGGTTAGTTGTGTCCCAACAATTTTGCTAAGATCTACAGGTATCCATCGCTATCGACTCAAATCGAATGCGCTTATGGATAACGCTCTTGACTAAATTGAATACACTGTATTGGCATCGGAAAACATCTAGCTTGACAGAATCACTCTAAATAACTCACACAGCACTTTTTCCAGTTTCCAGATGGGACAAAGAGGGGGCGATGAAATTTTTTTTGAATGAAGGTGCTTAGTGTCTGCTACGCACTCCGAAAATTTTCCGGCTAGTTCCCAGAGTTTTTGGGGGTCATAACCTCAAACAGGAAAAGTGGGCCGACGTGGCTTCCGCCACTCCCCCTAAGGTTTTTTAGAGGCCAACCTGGACTTCTAAATAATTTCGAGAGAATGTGAGCTACAGTCATTCGCAAAAGTTTGCCTCCAAGAGCCCTTTTTCAGGAAGTTACTCTCTAAATGCTCTGCACAATTGCTTTAGTACATATTCACCAGTTTGTAAATAACGTTTATTGCAAAAAAAAATTTTTTTTCATTCAGATGCTACACCTCATGTGTCGCTGTGTGCCTTCGCTCATTTTTTTAATGGTTTTTTTTAGCTCCACATGCGCTATAGCTGGGGATAATTTTGCGATCGTCGCGAGTGACACACGAATGTCACAGATGGAAATCAACATTCTTACTAGAGATGCTGAAAAAGTGCACGTACTGTATGTCTGATCCCTTTAGTCTTGTATCTTTTTAGAGAATTTTCCTTTCAGGAACGATTCCGTCATTCTAGCAACCTCGGGCTTCTATGGTGATGTTCTTCAGCTTAAGAGAGTGTTGCAGGTATAGAATTGCATCTAATAACTAAGTTTTATATCTCACTAGCTGGCTTACCCGGCTCCGCCGTATGTTCCGAATAGAAAATTCCATTTCTTAACCGATCCAGACCAAACTTGCCACACATACACTTCGGGCCCCGGCGGGTGTCACAGTCCACTTTTCGTTATCGATCGATGTCGATTTTATCATTTTTGCAAAATTTGGGCTAGGGGGCTGAAATTTGGCAGAGGGGGGTAAATGAGCATGCTGATTACGAATACAATATTAGTTTTCGAAACCGTGCATTACTTTTATCGATTTTATCGATTTTTTGCAAAATTTGAGCTAGGGGGCTGAAATTCGGCAGAGGGGTGTAATCGAGCATGCTGATCACCCCCACGGGGGTGATCAGCATGCTCGATTACCCCCCTATGCCAAATCCCAGCCACGTAGCTCAAACTTTGCAAAAAAATCGATAAAATCGATAAAAGTAATGCACGATTTTAAAAACTAATATTGTATTCGTAATCAGCATGCTCGATTACCCCCCTGTGCCAACTCCCAGCCCCGTAGCTCAAATTTTGCAAAAAATCGATAAAATCGATATCGATCGATGACGAAAAGTAGCCTATGACACCCGCCTGGGCCCGTAGTGTATGTCTGCCAAGTTTGGTCCGGATCGGTTCAGAAATGAAATTTTCTATTCGGAACATACGTACAGACATACAGACAGACAGACAGACATACATACATACAGACAGACAGACAAACAGACATTCAGCTTTATATATAAGACTAGCGACCCTACGGGTCGCTAGTAGGTGGGTGGTGGCAGATACATTGATATCTGCCATTAATTGACTAGAATCCCAAGAAAGAGAATTTTCATCTTCCCAGCGACCTTTCGCATGTTGTGAGTAGTAGAAACAAAACACTATGCTCTTAGGAAAAGAAGCTACTACCACTGACTATGCGCAAAGCATTTTTGCTGTTTTCTTGCACATACCTTTGCCCAGATACAACAGCTCTTAAACAAGGAAGCTACCTCGAAGCACCTGTTTAGAGCAGCTGATTCATCCCAAAACTCAGATTGATTTCCAGGAAAGTGCCATGTTATAGGAAGCGTCAATTTATGTCTTCCAGCAGCCAAAAACTCAGATATGTCGGTAAAAACGAAGCAGTATTTTCTTCGATGATGTCTTGCCAGTGAACGGGCTCATTTCTTGAATAGAAGCTGGCCCAGCGCCTTTTTTTGAAGGACAATCTTACCGCAACTGTCCTGTCGTATAAAACCCTAGTTCTTTCCTTCCCTCGAAACCAAGCTCCTTATGCTTCCGCTTTTAGCAGAAGTATGGTTGAGAAGAAGGGTAATTTTTCCAGCAAGTTTCTGTATAATCAAATATTGACACCTAAAAACTTTTAGCGCAAATATCTTGCTGCCTGAGCCCTGAGTCTTTTCTTCCCTCGAGACCAAGCTCCCTGTTTTTTGCTTCTAGGGACAAAAGTGTGGTTTTTGCAAAGTTCAGAAGGCCAGAATTTTCAGCAAAGATGATTTCCTGTCGCAAGAAGCTCATGGGTCTGTCTGGTTGTATGTCAAGAGACGCGATTCTTATTACCAGATGGGCAGTATATAGCACATACTTAGTGTTTTATGAAGTTCCAGGATTATTTGAAATTTCAAAAGAAGTACATTAGAGAATTGCAGGAATTCTTCGATCTTATCATTTTGAAAGCGATTCAAAACAAAATTGTTGAAGGTCAAAAACACATGAAAATGCAGTTTATAGCAATTTTGTAACTATTTCGGTCAGTTTTCTAGCAAAAGTCGTCGAACTTATTAAATGGTTACCTCAAACAGCTATTAGGGTGAACGGTAAAAAATGGGACAGCTTGATTTTCATTACATTTTACAATTTTTTGTTTCTGGCAACAGCAAGTAAGCAGCAACTTAAACGTCGCTCACATGGGCGACCTTCGCTTATTATTCTGGCAACGCGTTAACGCTCCTCTTCCACTACCCTACACGTGGCGCCGTGAAGAACTCGAACAGGGTTTTTTGGACAATCCTCAATCTTGCGCTGTTATACCGTAAAGTCGTAAAGCAAGTGACATACCATTCGAAAGAGCTCTTCATGCTCTTTCGAATGATGCGTTAAATGCATGAGATTTCCTTTCAATTTCAGAAAAAAAATCGAAAAAACCTGAAAAATAGCTATTTTTGGCGCAACAAAAGACCAAAAAATCATGTTTTGCCCTATATTTTCCGAAAATAGATAAAATCTGAAGTAAACTACATATGGATGGATAGAGCGTAAAAAGCTCTATCAGATGGTACCTAGAAATCATGCGTTTACCTGCAAAGAATTGAATAACGCGTATCTTTGTTCTCGAAGCTGTTAATGGGCATATCTCCTGACATTGAGAGTTAAAGCCACCAAGCCGTCGTGGGTTTGGTGACTGTCCCACCACTCACTCCAGCAGTGGTACTTTGGGTGGTCTCACATGTTTCACTGCGCCGATACTGCTCAAACTTCATAATTTCTCGAAGTAACTAACTTTGCATTTTAGCAATTATAAAAATTATCAATTATTTAAATGACCTTATATAGGTGCTATCTGAAAGAGAATAATTTATTCTAATATCCATCAAAATTGGAAAGTTCAGTCACTTTTATTCCTTGAGAAATCTGCAATTATTCTCAAGGTGTCCCATTTTTTACCGTTCACCCTAATAGTAAGCTGATGGACTTTGTCCGACACTTTTTGAACACTCCCATAGCGAGAAACTGAAGTTTTAAGTTGGTGACAGCCAGAAAAATCGCGCCTCTTGACCGTCTCCCGGTCTGTCTTTCCCTCGAGACCACTCTTCTGTTTTCAGAGGCAGAAGTCTGGCTTTTGCAGAGTGGAATGGCCACAAGTGAATTTTAAACAAGTTTCTGTAGAATACACATTGACACCCGGAAGTTTTCAGCGAAAATATCTTGCTGGCTGAGCTTATGAGTCTCGTCATCTTGTTGCCTGAGGCCATAATCCTTACTTCCCTCGAGACCAAGCTCCTTGTGCTTTTTTGTTTGGGCCAGAAGTGTGGTTTTTGAGTTTTATGGTTTTTTGCGAAGTTTGGGAGTCAAAAGTCTTAGAAAATGTCCTGTCGGATGAAACTCATGGGTCTGTCCTTCCCTAGAGACTAAATCCCTGTGCTTTTCTGCTTTCACGGCAGAAATATAAGCTCCTGCAAGACGAAGGCGGTCGGTTCAATGTGCAACGCGGCTGCGACATGGCTGCGTCACAGCAGCGTCACAGCCGCGTCACAGCCACGTCGCGCCTCGAACCAACCGCCTTCGTCTTGCAGGAGCTTATACTGGTTTTTGCGAATTAGAAGGGGTCGAAAGTTTCTGTGAAAATGTCCTGTTGCAAGAAGCTCATGGGTCTGTCCTTCCTTAGAGACTAAATCCCCTGTGCTTTTCTGCTTTTAGGGGCAGAAGCACTGGTTTTTGCGAAGTCTAGGAGGTCAGACGCCTTAGCGAAAATGTTTGTCGCATGAAGCCTCATGGTTCTGCCATTTTCTCGAGACCAAGCTTTCTGTACTGTTTTGCTTTTAGAGGAAGAAGTGTGGTTTTTGCAAAGTAGAATGGCCAGAAGTAAATTTTAAGCAAGTTTCTGTATGATTATTGACACCCATAAACTTCTGGCGAAAATACCTTGTTGCCTGAAGCCATGATTCTTTCTTCCCCCGAGACTGGATTTTCTGTGCTTTTCTGCGTTTAGGGGCAGAAGTACTGGTTTTTGCGAAGTCTAGAGGGTCAAACGTCTTAGCGAGACTGTCCTGTCGGATGAAGCTCATGGGTCTGTCCTTCCCTCGAGAGCACTTTGTGATTTTTTACTTTTAGAGGCAGAAGTATGGTTTTTTTGCAAAGTAGAAGGGCCAGAAGGAAATTTTTGAAGCAAGTTTCAGTATGAATAAACATTGACACCCAGAAAGTTTCAGCGAGAGTATCTTGCTAGCTGAGCTTATTAGTGTTTTCTCCTCGAGACCAAAAGGGCCAGAAGTAAATTTCAAGCAAGTTCTGTATAATCATTGACACCCAGAAACTTCTGGCGAAAGTCTCTTGCTGCCTGAGGCCATAATTCTTTATTCCATCGAGACCAAGCTCCCTGTCTTTCTGCTTTTAGGGCCAGATATGTGGTTTTGAGTTTTGTGGTTTTTGCAGTTGAGAGCCAAAAGTTTCAGTGAAAATGCCATGCCGGATGAAGCTCATGGGTCTGTCCTTCCCCAGAGACCACTCTTCTGCTTTCAGAGGCAGAAGTATGGTTTTTGCAGAATGGAAGGGACAGAAGTGAATTTAAGGAAATTTCTGTAAAATTAGATATTGACTCGTAGAAATTCTTAGCGAAAATATCGGTACATTTCCGTTATCCGGACCCATTTCTTCGAAAGGCTCCCATGTGATACTTTTTTTAGTCTAAGAATAATTTTTTATAGTTTCTACGAGGACTGCCTCCTTGCCACGTGTCACAAAAAAATTGACACTTTTCGATTCATTCTGACATGATTTTTTTTCGAAACCATTTCCGGGGAGGTAAAGGAGATTGTAGTCACTTTTGAGCTGTTTAGTTGTTTTACATAAAAGCAAAACAATCATGAATTTATTTTAGATCATCTTGCTTGCTTTCAGTGGTGATTTAATAATGCTTTTCTCTTCACACCCTTTTGGCCATGCGATTTTAGCCAGAAAAGACTATAAATGAAGCTTGAAGTCCCTTGCTGCCGCTTATTTTGCCTCTTAAATGATATCATCTCACGCACTTCTCTATTCCGAGCAAGTCTAGTCTGTTCATCGATAAGAGTATGTCGCTATTATTATGACAATGTTCACTTTGAAATGATTGACCGAAATGAGGTTGAAATTGACTACAAAACAGATTGAACGAAAGCTCTTAGTAAAACCTGTTAAGCATGTAAATGACATTTTGAATTTTTTTGACACGTGGCAGAAGGTTGGACTCCTCCCTGTAAAGCTGAGACC